TGTCGTCTAGAAAGGTCTTCGAGCCAAGGCGCCGCCGCGTCAGCCTTCTGCCGTCCAGCGCCTGCACCGCCTCCACCAGGCTGCCCGCCCGCTTCCGCCCTGTGGGGCCGTGGGGCCCAGGCTCTGCAGTCCCCACAGCCCACCCGGCTGGAACCTCACCTTGAGCACGATGTAGCAGTCGGCCTCGTAGAACCTGCCGTGCAGCGCTTCCTCCACCAGCACGGGCACGAAGTTCTCGATCTGCCAGATGGTCAGGCCGGGCAGCTGGCCCACGTCCTCCGTGAAGAACTCCGAGTAGTCGAGGCGCGGCTTCTCCAGGCCCTGGTCCCAGCGCCGCACCTTCGCCCCAGGGGCATGGGCGTCCACGCTCTCCTGGGGTCAGCCGGGAAGTCACTCAGCCCAGTTTGCCACCTTGGGGCCTTCCCTGGGGCCACCCTCTGCCAGGGTCCCCCTTCCATCCTGGCTCTCTGGTCAGAGTCCGCTGGGAGCAGAGCCCAGGGCTGTCCGGTCCAAGACCACAGGTCTACCTCCTGCTTTTAGTTTTTTTGAGAGATTTTTGCTATAGGGTTCTGACTCGCCAGAAAGACAGAGACAGACAGAAAATAATAAATCACCCTCCAGGAGGGATGGCCGCGCAGCAATCCCTTCTCCTCCATCCTGCTCTCTGGACTGCAGGCACTCGGCACACGTGCACATCATGAATTTTAAGCAGTCGGGTCTGGGACTTAAACTGCGGCTCACTACATGTGAGTCCAGCGATGTTAACCGTTACACCATCTGCTGGTTCTGCTTTTTTTTTTTTTTTTTGAGAGAGATGTTTGCTATATGGTGCATGTGCTCACCAGAGAGAGAGACAGAGACGGATAAACAGAAAGTGAGAAGTCGCCCCTTTGGGGATGGCCATGCCAGAATCCCTGCTCCATTCTCCTTTCAGGATCTTGGGCACGCACATACACGCGCCTACTGTGAGTCTTGTACTCACGAGGTGTCCAACCTTAGCCGTAACCACCTGCTGACCCCTACCTCCTGCTTTTTGTTCTTCTCCTGAGCCACGTCGGACATGCCCTTCAGCACCTGCTTAGCCTGGTCATCCTGGGCGGAGTCCTTGCGCCTCCGCAGCCGCATCTTGCGGGCCAGGGGGTCCTTGGGCCCACTCCCTGCTGAGGAGGGGCAGGCAGCTGAACCTAGGATCAGCCCAGGTCCAGGGGCCAACCCATCCCCGGGGCTGAGAGAGCGGATCCTACCCAACACGGGATGAGAGCTGAGGCCCAGAAGGAAGGCTCCTCCGTGGGCCCACACTCACCGGCCGCAGCCGCCGCCCCTGTGGCCGGGGG